TTAATAGGTTTATTTGTTTCAATTCTAGGGCTTTTATTTTTATTTTTATTTTATTTTATTTTATTTTGCTCTAATTCATTTTATTTTATTATTTATTTTTGTCTCGTACTAAAAAAAAAGAGAAAAAGAAAAAGCAAAAAAAAAATAATGACAAATGGGGATCATGGATAGAGACAAGTGTCCCTTTTTGCATTTGACAACACCTCACCTCACCTAGATGGTGAGGTGTCTAGACACTTGTAGGATAGATATTTTGAAAAGGAAAAGAAAGAGAAGAAAAGGGCAACGGGGCTTGAAAAAAAAAGGCAAGACAAAGAGGAGGGTTTGGCGGCTGAGTAGGGGGGGAACCTGGTTGGTGGCCGAAAAGAGAAAAAAGAAAGGAGAGAACCGAGAGGGGAGGACGGCTGGAAAAAACAGAGTAAAAGAAAAACCAAGGGGGTGGCGGATGAAAAGGAACCGTGGAAAACGAAAAGGAAAAAAAGGAGGTGCTTCATCGGAGGCTAAAGAAAAAGAAAGAGAAAGATTGAAAGGAAAAAATGGGAAGTTTAGCGGCTGAAGGCTGAGGAGAGGCTTCGGCTGAGTGAAGGGAAAAGGACGGAGAGGGAAGCTCAACGAAAACAAAAAACAGAGAAAAGGAAAAGAGGGTGGCGGCTGACGGGCAGAGGAGGAAAAAAGAGCAAAAACGCAAGGGGAAAACAGAGGGGCTGAGAACAAGGAGAAGAAAAAGGAGAGAACCGAGAGGGGGGCTTCGGTGGGGAAAAACAGAGAAGGCCGAGAGAGGTTTGGGCTAAAAAGAACAAAGCAAAGGAAAGACAAGGGGCGGCGGAACAAAGCAGAAAACTAAGAGGAAAATGGACTGCTAGGGTTAGAGAAAAGGGAGACGCGAAAGTGAAAGGGAGAACTTCGGGGAGTTTCTGAGAGGAAGACAAGAGCAGGAACCAGAACAAGAGGAAGAAAGAAGCTTCGGGCTAGGGAAAAATCAAAACGGAGGCAGAGGAGAGTAAGAACCAGAATCACCACTGCCGTCGACCACCGCCAGCGCCGCCACTTCACCGAATCCACCATCATCACCGGCCAATTTTCATCAAGCAAGAGCACGGTAAGCTGTCTTTTCTTCTTTAAAACTTCAGTTTTGTTCAAGCCTTTGAAACAGGCTGCCGTGACTGTGTTTGGTTGCAATTTTCGGTTGTTTGTTCATGATTTTTTAATACGCATGCTATATGTGTTAATTGGACTGTTTGCTGTGTTTCTGGCAAACTTTTGGGGCTGAAAATGACCTTAATTGAGCAAAAAAAGTCGGTGAAATTTTGGTGCCTATTTGCTGTTCGACGAAATGCCTAACCGAAAGTCCTGCTTTGAAGATGATTTTTGCTTGCGTTTTGCGTTGTTCTTATCCCAGAAATTTTGTTTACCAGAGTTGGGTAGTTGAAGTTTTTGGTAATTATGCTAGAGGTTGGGTTTTGTTTTTGCTAAGATGGCATGCTGTAGCTCCCTGCTTTTCCCTTGTGGTTGTGCAATCAGCCACGGATTTAAGGGGGGGCTGGTGGGGGCTTAAGCCCCCCCCAAGCCGCCGGAAAACCCCCTATAATCAAACGCTAAGGCTTACTCTGCCTATCTCAGTCGATCTCAAGGACACCGCCATCCCCGACTGCCTCCAGTCCTGCTGCCAGAAGAGCACCGCCGCTAGCAGTCCACCGTAAGTTATCCCTTTCATTTGTATTTCATTTTTTTTCCTTGATCACAAGTTTTGGAAAGTTTTTCAAATGGGTCTGCCATGACTTGGTTGTTGCGTTTCCCCTGTTGATGGCCCATAATTTTATGATTATACGTGTTTTATGTGTTGATTTGGTTGGATTTTCTTGGGATTTCTGATAATTTTGGGTGCTGCTTTACATCAATTGAGCGAGAGATTAGCTAAAATTTCTTATGCTCATGTGGTGTTTGACGAAATACCTAACCGACAGTCTTGCTTGAAGACGATTTTGCTTGCATTTTGCGTGTTCTTATCCCAGAAATTTTGTTTACTAGAGTTGGGTAGTTGACGTTTTTGGCAATTATGCAAGAGGTTGGGTTTTGATGGTATGCTGTAGCTCCCTGCTTTTCCCTTGTGGTTGTGCAATAGATTTGAAATGATGAATTAGAAGAAAGCCACGGTTGGGAATAAAATTATTGCAGAGAATATTTGTTGCTCAAAAGAAAAGTTTCTCATGGCTTTGTATGTTCTTTTCAAAGGATTCTACACTTAGCATGTGAATAAGTTGACCCGTATCAATTTCCCTTTAGTAGAATATGTTTTTCAGTTTGGCTATTGTTGTTTCATTTCTGCCATTTTTGAATGAAAGCTGTTAGTTTCCTTCATCCGATGATCTGCGAGGCTGTTTTGCTGTGAATACTGAGTTTTTATTGCAAGATTATGGTTGTGCCTAAGATTTTTATCTTGTGAGTTTGTTTGAAGTTATGGCAGAGCTCTAAGCCATTTTGGTTGCATTTTGATGAGCATCAAATCTGCAGCAGAATAAAATTTTTGCAGTCCTCTTTGCTGTTTTTTTTTTCTGCAATTGCTCACCAAGTTTCAGCCATCCAACCTGCTGATTGGTCTTATATTGAAAAGGTGGATTAGATAAGTGGTGTTGGATTAGCATGTTTAGTATTTTGTTCAAATTCAAGATCTGATCTTTAGCATGTTTTCTTGAATGTTTTGGTTCGGCACTTCAAACAAGAGTTAAACATTTTCGCTGCATTTTTGTTTTGTTATTTTGAAAACCACTGCTACCCCTTTGTTTTTGCTAGCTGTCACCAAACCAGATTTTCTGATTTGATCTTGCAACAAAAGGGTAATATTTGACTTTCTAACTCGTCACAAACCTCTAATGGGAGCCAACTCATTTGTGACAACTTAGAAAAGTCGTCACTAGTAAATTCCCGCCAAGATTTAGCAAGAGCGCGGGAGTGTTTGGAACACACAATAGTGACGACATTAAAAACATCATCACTATTGCTTGGCCTAGTTACGGACAACTTTTTGTTGTCGTCACTGATCACTAAAAAAAAGGTTATTAGTGACAACATTCTCTAGTGATGACAATAAGTCGTCACAAAAGGGGTTTCTTTAGTCGCGACACCTAAAGTTGTCACAATTGCATCAAAGCAACTAAATGTTTAGTGACGACCCGTTATTTTCGTCACAAACTACATTGCAAGAAATATGGTCATTAGTGACAACATTTTTTAGTGACGACAAAAGTCGTCACAAAAAGTGGTTATTTAGTGACGACAAGGAAAGTTGTCATAATTGCTCAAAGCAACTAAGTCTTCAGTGACAACCTTGAAAAAGTTGTCACTAAAATGATCTATATAGTGACAACTTCTAATATCGTCACTGTCACTCTACCGATTCGGATTTAGTGACAAGAATTAATCGTCACTGTTTAAAGTACTTATTTCTAAGTCACTTTCATTAATTCTACTGTGCCACCCTAACTTTTGCGATTTAGCCCCAAATGTTGTAATAAATTTCATTAATTCCATTATGATACCTTAACTTTTTCAATTTAGCCCCATATGTAGTACACCGATTTCATTAATTCTATTATTACTCCCTAACTTTTGTAATTTAGCCCCATATGTAATTCACCAATTTCATTAATTCTACTATGGCACTCTAACTTTTGCAATTTAACCCCCATATGTAATACACCAATTTTATTATTTCTATTATGGCACCCTAGCTTTTACAATTTAGCCCCTATTTTTTTATTAGGAAATTGCGAATGGTATCTTGATAAACTATGCATAAATATTTTATAATTTTCTCAAACTTAAGTAATAATTTGTTATAAATTCTAAAGATATATCTTTCATTACAATAGTTATAAGGCAGACAGGTCTTTTTATCAATGGAATAAGAAATTTATGGCAGATTTATCCTTTGTGCTACATGCCAAGTAGTATTAGCAAAGGAATAACAAAGTACTACAAAGCAATTAACAAAATATCTGTAATTTATACACATTTTGCAACTACTACTTTGTGTTTTCTCTGTAATGAATTTTTTAACTATTGAGAACTTAAGTTTTGTCTTGCAAATCTATACTAGTACAATAATTTTAAACAAAATTAAACATTAAAATAAATGTTTGAAAAAGAACAAAAGTACATTTATCACTTGCAGTAATGTAACAAAATTTTCTCAACCATTATCAATATTTTCACAAAAGTATTAAAAACTAGCAATTGACAATATTAAAAACTAGCAATTTAATTAGTGATGACTTTTCTTGTCATTATAATCTTGAATAAATTAGTGATAACATTATGTCATCACTAAATTTTCTTTGATTTTGACTTAACAATAATGTCTTATTAATAGCATTTGATTATTTTTAATAAAAGTCTGTTATAACCATAGAATTTGACTTTCGTTATTTTCAATTAATGATGTACTTTAGTGCTGCAATTATAAAAAATTGCAGGGCTAAAATATTTGCAAATTATAAAAGTATATTTTCACTTATATGTAATTAACAAATTTTGCCACCTATATTGACGAAAATTTGTGTTTTTGTACTAAAAAATAAAGAATAATACTATAGCAATAAAATCTATGCTTCAAACCAAATTAAAAATAAAAAAAAAACATGATGATTGGTCTCAAATGTTGGGAAAATGATTATTTTTATTGAAACTATGTGTAGACACCAAATTTTTGTTTTTTTAATTTTATTTTGTTTAATTAATTTAATAGGTTTATTTGTTTCAATTCTAGGGCTTTTATTTTTATTTTTATTTTATTTTATTTTATTTTGCTCTAATTCATTTTATTTTATTATTTATTTTTGTCTCGTACTAAAAAAAAAGAGAAAAAGAAAAAGCAAAAAAAAAATAATGACAAATGGGGATCATGGATAGAGACAAGTGTCCCTTTTTGCATTTGACAACACCTCACCTCACCTAGATGGTGAGGTGTCTAGACACTTGTAGGATAGATATTTTGAAAAGGAAAAGAAAGAGAAGAAAAGGGCAACGGGGCTTGAAAAAAAAAGGCAAGACAAAGAGGAGGGTTTGGCGGCTGAGTAGGGGGGGAACCTGGTTGGTGGCCGAAAAGAGAAAAAAGAAAGGAGAGAACCGAGAGGGGAGGACGGCTGGAAAAAACAGAGTAAAAGAAAAACCAAGGGGGTGGCGGATGAAAAGGAACCGTGGAAAACGAAAAGGAAAAAAAGGAGGTGCTTCATCGGAGGCTAAAGAAAAAGAAAGAGAAAGATTGAAAGGAAAAAATGGGAAGTTTAGCGGCTGAAGGCTGAGGAGAGGCTTCGGCTGAGTGAAGGGAAAAGGACGGAGAGGGAAGCTCAACGAAAACAAAAAACAGAGAAAAGGAAAAGAGGGTGGCGGCTGACGGGCAGAGGAGGAAAAAAGAGCAAAAACGCAAGGGGAAAACAGAGGGGCTGAGAACAAGGAGAAGAAAAAGGAGAGAACCGAGAGGGGGGCTTCGGTGGGGAAAAACAGAGAAGGCCGAGAGAGGTTTGGGCTAAAAAGAACAAAGCAAAGGAAAGACAAGGGGCGGCGGAACAAAGCAGAAAACTAAGAGGAAAATGGACTGCTAGGGTTAGAGAAAAGGGAGACGCGAAAGTGAAAGGGAGAACTTCGGGGAGTTTCTGAGAGGAAGACAAGAGCAGGAACCAGAACAAGAGGAAGAAAGAAGCTTCGGGCTAGGGAAAAATCAAAACGGAGGCAGAGGAGAGTAAGAACCAGAATCACCACTGCCGTCGACCACCGCCAGCGCCGCCACTTCACCGAATCCACCATCATCACCGGCCAATTTTCATCAAGCAAGAGCACGGTAAGCTGTCTTTTCTTCTTTAAAACTTCAGTTTTGTTCAAGCCTTTGAAACAGGCTGCCGTGACTGTGTTTGGTTGCAATTTTCGGTTGTTTGTTCATGATTTTTTAATACGCATGCTATATGTGTTAATTGGACTGTTTGCTGTGTTTCTGGCAAACTTTTGGGGCTGAAAATGACCTTAATTGAGCAAAAAAAGTCGGTGAAATTTTGGTGCCTATTTGCTGTTCGACGAAATGCCTAACCGAAAGTCCTGCTTTGAAGATGATTTTTGCTTGCGTTTTGCGTTGTTCTTATCCCAGAAATTTTGTTTACCAGAGTTGGGTAGTTGAAGTTTTTGGTAATTATGCTAGAGGTTGGGTTTTGTTTTTGCTAAGATGGCATGCTGTAGCTCCCTGCTTTTCCCTTGTGGTTGTGCAATCAGCCACGGATTTAAGGGGGGGCTGGTGGGGGCTTAAGCCCCCCCCAAGCCGCCGGAAAACCCCCTATAATCAAACGCTAAGGCTTACTCTGCCTATCTCAGTCGATCTCAAGGACACCGCCATCCCCGACTGCCTCCAGTCCTGCTGCCAGAAGAGCACCGCCGCTAGCAGTCCACCGTAAGTTATCCCTTTCATTTGTATTTCATTTTTTTTCCTTGATCACAAGTTTTGGAAAGTTTTTCAAATGGGTCTGCCATGACTTGGTTGTTGCGTTTCCCCTGTTGATGGCCCATAATTTTATGATTATACGTGTTTTATGTGTTGATTTGGTTGGATTTTCTTGGGATTTCTGATAATTTTGGGTGCTGCTTTACATCAATTGAGCGAGAGATTAGCTAAAATTTCTTATGCTCATGTGGTGTTTGACGAAATACCTAACCGACAGTCTTGCTTGAAGACGATTTTGCTTGCATTTTGCGTGTTCTTATCCCAGAAATTTTGTTTACTAGAGTTGGGTAGTTGACGTTTTTGGCAATTATGCAAGAGGTTGGGTTTTGATGGTATGCTGTAGCTCCCTGCTTTTCCCTTGTGGTTGTGCAATAGATTTGAAATGATGAATTAGAAGAAAGCCACGGTTGGGAATAAAATTATTGCAGAGAATATTTGTTGCTCAAAAGAAAAGTTTCTCATGGCTTTGTATGTTCTTTTCAAAGGATTCTACACTTAGCATGTGAATAAGTTGACCCGTATCAATTTCCCTTTAGTAGAATATGTTTTTCAGTTTGGCTATTGTTGTTTCATTTCTGCCATTTTTGAATGAAAGCTGTTAGTTTCCTTCATCCGATGATCTGCGAGGCTGTTTTGCTGTGAATACTGAGTTTTTATTGCAAGATTATGGTTGTGCCTAAGATTTTTATCTTGTGAGTTTGTTTGAAGTTATGGCAGAGCTCTAAGCCATTTTGGTTGCATTTTGATGAGCATCAAATCTGCAGCAGAATAAAATTTTTGCAGTCCTCTTTGCTGTTTTTTTTTTCTGCAATTGCTCACCAAGTTTCAGCCATCCAACCTGCTGATTGGTCTTATATTGAAAAGGTGGATTAGATAAGTGGTGTTGGATTAGCATGTTTAGTATTTTGTTCAAATTCAAGATCTGATCTTTAGCATGTTTTCTTGAATGTTTTGGTTCGGCACTTCAAACAAGAGTTAAACATTTTCGCTGCATTTTTGTTTTGTTATTTTGAAAACCACTGCTACCCCTTTGTTTTTGCTAGCTGTCACCAAACCAGATTTTCTGATTTGATCTTGCAACAAAAGGGTAATATTTGGCTTGGGTGGTGATTAGGAGTGTGTCTTGCGATTGTTTGATTCAAAAAGCTGATGTTTGTGAGTGACATATTCGAATTGATAGTGAACTAGAGAAGGTAGCAGGTTGATGTTGCATAAATTCTCACCGTAGCCTTGCATGAACAGATTGTAGAAATGTGCTTTGCAAAAATAACTTTCTAAAATTGCACTCTGGCCCCCCAAGTCTCCCTTTGTTCACCGTGGCCCAAAATCTGGAAAAATCAAACTAATTTCACTCTTTTAAGCTTAGTCCTCTGTTTGCATATTTTATGTGGTTTTTTGGACAGATTAATTCTGGAATTTAGACCATAATTGTAGCGTTTTCAAATATTGAGCAAATATTGCAGCGTTTTCAACGGATGAAGACTCGCAGAATGCAATTGCCTCCTCTTCGTTATTCGAGTGAAACAACTAAGTCTCATTACTAAGTCTCATTTCTAACTTCTTGCTGGTGCTGTAATATGTGGGCCCAAATTATATGAGGTTCTTAATGAATTGTAATTTTTGTCTTAATAATCTAAGTCTCATTACTTGTTCTTTATTATTATACTCCTCCTCTTACCTACTTCTTTTACTCTTTTATGACAGATAAATGCTATTCATACTAGCTTTTGGAAGATATCTATGGTTATGGTTGAAGAATGTTGAAGACAAAATTGCCTTTTGCTCATGGAGTGGTTCATTTAGATGTTCTTCAATTTCTTAAACTGTGATTGCTTTTGTAAATGTACCTTATGTACAAGTGATATTTTGGACAAATGTTATTTTTGTAGGCATTAGTTGGGCAATGTACACTTGAATTTGGCATTTGAGAATGCTATATTATTACCATGTAATCTAATGCAAATACTTTTGGTTATCAATCGTTCATGTTTATTTGTATGATTTGTTTAAAATCAATGATTTAGCAATGATTACAGGCCAAATTATGACTATTAAGCTATTATGAAATTATCTAATGACAAAAAAAAGTTGTCACAAAATAGAAAATAAAAACTCCTTGTCACAACAGAGACTGTCACTAAATCTAAGTTACATTTGTGACGACAATTGTTGTCAGTAAAATAGTTATATACAATGGCTTTCGGTGCTTTTTAGTGACGACTTTAAGTAGAGCATTTTTGACAAAAGGTCAATTCGTCAATAAAACACTTCCGGATTGTTGTCACTAATGACAACTATTTAGTGACGACATTTCAGGTCGTCACTAAATAGTTGTCATTAGTGACGACAATCTGGAAGTGTTTTATTGACGACTTGATCTTTTGTCAAAAATGCTCTACTTAAAGTCGTCACTAATGAGAACTATTTAGTGACGACATTTTAGGTCGTCACTGTTTACTTTTACCGACGGGGATTTAGTGACGACTTTGTGACGATCAAAAAGTAGTCAATAAAAGGTATTTGTGACGATATTTGTATGTTTTGTGATGACTTTGTGTTGTCACTAATGAACAATTTTCTTGTAGTGAATTTTGCCAATTTCCCATCTCTAATTCTCTATTGTCTTTGCATCCTTGTCCAAGTTCAAAGAATTTCTGGCAAAAGAAGTCGCCCAACGAAAACAACTACGAGTACTTGTAACCCCTAATTTGATTGTTTATTTTAATTATGCCTATCAGCTATATATGTGTACTAGATACTTTTACTATCAAGCGTCAAGATAGGTTGTTTCTTATTTCTAATGCGACAAGATGCTCGAACCTTTTCTTTTCATTTTAGGGTTCCGTTGCTTTATTTCTTGTCAAACTATAGGTAAAAAATGTTATTTGTTTATAAATCATTTACTTATTTAATATTTTTAAAGTTGTACAAAACTGTATATGAACTTTAAATTAATTAATTTAGTTAATTTGGAAATTTTTTATGGAATCTTACTTACAATCCTATGATCCGATCCTATTAAACTAAAATCGATCCTACGTAGGATCCCATTTTGCAAACCTTGATTGTAACTATTAAGACTGGCCCAGGAATAAACAAACTGGTATCAGATCTGGTTGATATATTTTGCAAGACAGGTTCATCTGGTGGGGCCCGTCCATCTTGTGGAGCCCACTCATCCTGTGGGTCCGTTTATCCGTGGGACCCGCTCACCTTGTGGGGCTCGTTCATCCCGTGGGGCCCGCTCACCCTGTGGGGTCCGCTAACGAGACTTACATATTTGTTTGACCAGTTTTTTGAGACAAACTTTAAATTACAGATTTTGTAGTAACAATGACGATAACAAAGACGGTTGTCGAGAAATTCGACAGAAATGTCAACTTGGGGATGTGGCAGCTCAAGATGGAGGCTATTCTTGTTCAAGACGGAGTTGATCTAGCGATTCACATAATCGAGAACAAACCAGAAGATGTAAAGGATGTGAATTTCACGGAAATAGATAAGAAGGCCAGACCCAGCATAATCTTAAATCTCTCCGATGAAGTTTTGCGGAAGGTAGCAACGGAGACTTCGGCCAAGGTTATGTGGGATAAATTGAAAGGTTTGTATATGAAGAAGACAGTCGAGAATTGGCTATATTTGAAACAAAGTTTGTATATGCTTCGGATGTCTGAAGAAAATATTTTTAGGTCTAACAATGAGTGGAATTTAGATTCGGATTGTTCATATCATATGTGTCCCAATAGGGACTGGTTTTCAACATATGAATCAACTGAAGGTGGAATTGTCTTAATGGGTAACAACGCCGCTTGTAAAGTTGTTGGCAAAGGCACAATCCGGATTAAAATATACGATGGTATTATGAGGACGCTTGCAAATGTTAGACATGTTCCAAATTTGAAGAAAAATCTCATCTCTTTGGGCACTCTTGAGTCTATTGGGTGCAGGTATTCAGGTGGAGATGGAGTTCTCAAAATCACTCAAGGAGCTCTTGTTGTTATGAAGGTACACAGATATAGTACTTTGTATATTTTGCAGGGATCTACTGTTACAGGTGCTGCTGCTGTTTTAACATCATCTTTGTCAGATACAGACATCACCAAATTATGGCATATGTGTTTGGAGCATATGAGCGAAAAAGGCTTGAGCATACTGAGCAAAAGAGGACTTCTTTGTGGACAAAGTACCGGGCCATTGGAATTCTGTGAACATTGTATTTTTGGGAAGCAGAAAAGAATCAGCTTCAGTTTACCAGCAATTCACAAGACAAAAGGTACTCTTGATTACATTCATTCAGATCTATGGGGTCCTTCTCATGCTCCTTCTAAAGATGGTACCAGGTACATGTTGACTTTAATTGATGATTATTCAAGGAAAGTTTGAGTATATTTTCTTAAACATAAAAATGATGTTTTCTTAACTTTCAAACAATGGAAAGATTTGATTGAAAAAGAAATAGGAAAACATATTAAGCGGTTGAGAACAGATAATGGCATGGAATTTTGTGGAGGTGAATTTGATAGATTTTGCAAAAATGAAGGAATTGTTCGGCATCACACTGTTAGGATGACGCCTCAACAAAATGGTGTGGCCGAACGTATGAATAGAACGCTTTTGGAGAGAGTATAGTATATGATCTCCAATGCAGGGTTGACAAACGACTTTTGGACAGAAGCGATCAATATAGCCTGTTATATTGTCAACCATTCTCCTTCTGCACCTCTTGATTTCAAAACTCCTGAGAAAATTTTGTCAGGTACTCCTGCTGATTACTCCAATTTAAAAGTTTTTGGGTGTCCAGCATATATGCACGTGAATGATGAAAAATTAGAGCCTAGGGCTAAAAAATACATTTTTCTTGGATGAAAGGATACAGATTATGGTGTCCTGATCCCAAATTTATAATCAGTAGAGATGTTACTTTTGATGAGTTGTTTATGTTATCTTCCAAGAAGGAGTCTTCTAGTCCTTGTACTACTGATAGTAAACAGAAGCAGGTGGAACTTGATATTGGCAGTTCCGATCCTTTTCATACCAAATCTTCTATTCATCAAGTGCCAGTAGATGCAGTTGAATCTACTGTTGAAGATAGTTCTGATAAAGAGAAATATTCCATAACCAGAGATAGACCAAGGAGAGACATTCGACCACCACAAAGATATGCAAATTTAGTTGCATATGTTTTGTCTATTGCAAAAGAAATTGATGCAGTTGGTGAGCCTTCCATCTATTCAGAAGCAGTTTCTTGTGATGATTCTACAAAGTGGTTGATTACGATGAATGATTTCTTCATCAGAATGAAACTTGGGTTCTTGTAAAGTCGCAGTCAAATAAGAAAATAATTGGTTGCAAGTGGGTCATCAAGAAAAAGAAAGATGTTCCAGGGGTTGAAGATGCAAGGTATAAAGCACGATTGGTTGCAAAGGGCTATAGTCAGGTACAAGGTGTTGATTTTAATGATGTATTCTCACCTGTTGTTAAACATAGCTCTATTCGTATTTTACTTGTTTTAGTTGCCATGTATGATTTGGAGTTAGAGCAGCTTGATGTTAAGACAGTTTTCTTACATGGCGAACATGAAAAACAAATTACATGAAGCAATTCCAGGGTTTTGAAATTGAAGGTAAAAAAGACCATGTTTGCTTGTTAAATAAATCCTTATATGGACTGAAACAGTCTCTAAGACAGTGGTATAAAAGGTTTGATTCCTTTATGTTGGATCGTGGTTATTTGAGGAGCATGTATGATAATTGTGTTTACTTCCGGAAGTTAGATCATGATTCTTTTATCTATTTGTTACTTTATATTGATGACATGCTCATTGCTGCCAAGAATTTGTCAGAAATTCACACTTTGAAATTGCAGTTAAATAGTGAATTTGAAATGAAAGATTTGGGAGCAGCTAAGAAAATTCTTGGCATGGATATCAAGCGAGATTGAGGAGTAGGGAAGTTATTCTTGACCCAGAAAAATTACCTTGAGAAAGTCTTGGAGCGTTTTGGCATGAAAGATGCTAAACCAGTATCTACTCCTCTAGCTAGCCATTTTCGGCTATCTGCTGCTCAATCACCACAATCAGATGAAGAGGAAGAATATATGGCACGGGTTCCTTATTCTAATGTAGTCGGCAATGTTATGTATGCAATGGTTTGTACTCGTCCAGATATCTCACATGCAGTCAGTGTTGTTAGCAGATATATGTCCTGCCCTAGTAAAGTACATTGGCAGGCTATGAAATGGATTCTCAGATACTTGCGAGGTACTTCAAATACATGTTTGAAGTTTGGAAAAAATAATAACACTTTGATTGGTTTTATAGACTCAGACTACGCTGGGGATCTTGACAGGAAAAGATCACTTTCTGGCTATGTATTTTGCATTGGCAGTTGTGTTGTCAGTTGGAAAGCTACTGTACAACCTGTCGTAGCTTTATTTATTATAGAAACAGAATGTATGGCTGTGACCGAAGCAATCAAAGAAGCTTTGTGGCTGAAGAGTTTATTTAGCGAACTTAGTCTACATCAAGGTGTTACTGTTATTCATTGTGATAGTCAAAGTGCCATACACTTGACTAAAGATTAGATATATCATGAGAGGACGAAACATATTGATGTGAAGTATCACTTCATTCGAGGATATCATTGCTGAAGGAAAAGTCCTTATTCAGAAAATCAATACTAAGAACAATCCAGCCGATATGTTTACGAAATCTCTTCCAATTTACAAGTTCAAGGAGTACTTGGATTTGATTGGTGTTCATTGTTCGTGATATGGCCCGTTGGGGCTTATATGGAGAAAGTGGAGCAAGTTTACTAGTGTCGATGGTGGGACTCAAAATTATGCCAAGGTAGAGGTTTGTTGAGCCGCAAGGTTTGACTTTGGTGGCAAAAATTTTTCATTCCACATCGGAAGAAGCTTTAGGAGTTCCTTTGTTTGCTTCCTATAAATAAGGGGGCTTAGTGGTGAAGAAGGGTGCACCACTCAAGAAATTATTATATGCGTTATTAGTTTTTTGGGTCATCTAACCCATTTATAGTCAAATATTTTAGGCTCTCTTGTTTTGAGTTTAGGAATATTTCCTAAACCTTTTGTAAGTGCCATTTTGGCTTAGGAACCACTTTCCTACAGCTTTTGTTTTTCTTCTTCATAGTAGAAATATTGCTCCTCCCTCGCCCGTGGACATAGGTCAATTTGACCGAACCACGTAAATCTTCTGTGTCTTTTATTTGCTTTATTATTTGTCTTTATTGAGTTGCCATAATCCTTTTATATGGTCGGTTTTACCGCTTAATTGTTATATGGCTGGTGTCTACCGCCTAATCATTATATGGTCGGTTATATCATTTATTTTGTTCTAACTTTAGTTTGTTTACTCTTGCACCGGTCCTAACAGTAACTAGTGAAGTAAAGGTTAAAGGCAAATGTTTGCTATAAAGGAACGAGGAAAGGAAGAGGTTACCGTTGCCCATTAACCGGGAATCGAGGACAATGTCATATGTTGGTGGGCATTTTGGAACATTCAACTTGTCTTTTTGTTGACCAGTCAAAGTATAATGTGTCAATGGAGACTCGAGGTTAACTAATGCAAAAGAGCTCATATCCCTTTCAGTCATAGCATTATCAGGGACCCGGGACCCTATGAATTTTTTTTTTTCCGGAGACAGAAAATTGTAGTATATCCTAATCTAGGATACACTAGGGGAAGAGTGGATCTAAAGAGGTTCATGGGTAATTCGGAAGGGACTGAACCATCACCAAATCAAACGGTTACGTAATACACCTGCTTGAATTTTTTGAATCAAGTCCACATTTTAATATGGTAATTGATGAGAGGCAAGGTATGGTAATTCACCAAGCCTTAAAGGCTTGATGATGACCGGGCTGGTAGTTGGACCTCTATGGTTACACGCACTATTTTTAAAACTCGGATTGGTGGACTCCATCAGTCAAAACGAAAGTGGTTAGTTATTTGGTTTGAGTCATCTTTAAAAATCGCATGTTAGAAACTCGTTCAAATTGGTTTTATACTTTTTTTTTTTTTGCTTTTTTTTCCCGTTGCTAATTTCTTTTTCTTTTTCCAAAATTTTCTTCTTCTTTAGAGCCTTAATTTGATCCCTCCAACAATTTGGTAATATGTATTGGAAATCACAAGCACAAAGTTCTAAGAGAAAATAACAAAAAAGGAAGAGAGAAGATAGATCTATGAATATATCTTCATTATCAACTTCTAAAGATCTAGATCTAAATGAAAAAAAAAAAAGAATGAATGAAAATAGAGGAAGAGAGAAGGAATCCTGCCTATTTGAAGAAAAGAAACAAAAATGAAAATCACAAAATGAAAGGAAAAAAAAAAAAAGAATGCAGAGATTGAACCCCCTGGTAATTTGGTGATGATGCATGCTGCTGATTTGATAATGTCGTGTTTTTTGTTTTTCCTTTTTAATTTGGTGAATTTCTATTTTCGAATAACATTGATTGAAGTTGACTGGAAAGAGCCAAAAAAAAAAAGGGAAAACGCAGGTTGAAACTTGAAAGTTGAAGTGAAGAAGGAGAAGAAAGAGACGCAAATGTTTCCACCTGGTGCATGAGGAGAGGGGTAGGGGTTTGGACCGAATGAAGAGTAGGAAGGCAAAAGATAAGGTAGGTGGCAACTGCCTTCCAAGTCTAAAATTTTTCTAATTTTGTGTTTTGACCCTTTATGTTTTGAACAATTACAATTATGCTTGCAAATTTCTTTTATAATTCTCGTGTGCAACTTTAGCTTTTGTACTTGGTACAAATAATTGTCAATTTTGTTTACGACTTATCATGCATGTGCATTTGAACTTTATAAAAGTTAACAAATTAATTTGAAATATGATTGTTGAATTTTTATTTAAAATTCGTATTAAGTATTTGATATTGATTTGTCATTTTGTTCAATTTGTAACTCAATTGTGTTTTAAGAATTTGATGTGATGCAAGGACTATGAGGTAAAAATGAACCTAATTAATGTATTAATAGTATTTTTTATTTTTTATTTTTAAAAATTAATATAAGTTTATGACGTCATAATGACATCATCTGATTTTTAATACCGGTCTGATTGGATCGAACCCATTGACCCTTGAATTCAATCAAATCGATTGCTGGTAGGAGTTTCAAAAATAGGTTACAAGTGCCACCATAGAGGGCTTTTTGTAGCTCAGATGAGGCCAAGCTTACTTCTTGTGATCTAGGCAATGATAGCATGATTAACCTGCAATCCTATCAGTCTCTCACCCCATTATCAATACTTAGCATTACTTAGTAACATGGTCAAACTTTAAAATCTGATTGGTAATTTGGTCAAATTTCATGGAAATACATGCACAATAGGTCTGACTTATAAGTTGGCCGAATAATACACAGTACATTTTACTTATCACTTCCTAACTCACTCTCGGTCTCATCTTGTATTATATTGTCATATATTGTTGATGAACAAGCTATTTTAACTCTTTTTTTTTTCTTCTTCTTCAGAATTCCAAGAACCACTAACTATGTAAAAAAATGATAATAGACTAAAATGCCAAATTTTAATTAAAAAATCAAATTTTTACGAGTTTTTAGTATATATATACTTGCAGAATTTGAGATAATTAGATTATTAAATTTGGTTTAAGGCAAGACCTCGTCAATTGGATAAATAAAAGGAAAACTAAAAGAAACGTAATGGAGAGAAGCCCCACCCAGTTTCTCAAATCAAGCTATCATACCTATGGGATTCTACGATGGCGACCACGCTATTATTTCAATATATATTCTATAGTTAATTACCATTCTAATGATTGCAAAAAGGCTAAATATGTAGATAATTACTGTCTTAGGAAGTATAAGTCCACTTAAAATTCTACCATATATGACAAATCATGAGTGCTATGATCAGTATGATGTGCTTATGCTGAAATCTGTTTTGTACTATATGCCAATGCTGAAATTTACTCCTTGTACAAATTCTACTGTCATTCACACCAATTATAAATGTATTAAAGGTTTGGATTTAAATAAAGTTATGCGAATATAGCCCTTTCATTTTCATTTTCGATCCAGAATTCAATAAAAACAAAAAAATTGTAAGAATCAAGTCTGTTTTTAACACTAGGGGAAAAAAATGGTCAGAGCAAGACTCCAGAACATACCTTTAGTGGAACTAGGAGGAGGAGCGCCAGTGAAGGGATGTAAGTTTGACATAGGCGGTGGTGCAGGGGATGCACTATTGTAGAAGCGGTAGAGCTCATACCTAATATTACAGCTTGGAAAGAGCACTCTGCCTCCCACTCTGATAGTACAACAAAGGTTCAGATTGGTTCTGATAGCACTTTCAAGGCACCCTTTGCAGTCATCACCAGATATATCTGGTGTGCACTGTGTAAGGGCATACAACGTCTGAAAAGCGGAAAAGTTGGCTTGTTGAACAGCAAACTTTTTGCCCCATGTTTGATTTGCAGCCTGATCCGCAGCGTTATACAACAAATTTCCCAATAGCAATACGAAGTTGTACCAGTCCGATTCAGTGACATTTTGTACGTTGTACATAGCCAATCTCACTCCGAAATCAACCTTGGAGAAGATTGTCTGGTCAGAAAAACGCAACAAGCACTCATCATACCAAACAATAGCAGCCGTCTGATTCGGGCACTCTTGAAATACTCTTGTGCTGGCATTTGCTACACATTCTTTGCAAACATCAGGGCTGAGATCGCCTCGACAGAGAAGGAGGCCATAGACCGTGTTAGAAGGGTCATTACCAGTACTGAAATTATAGAAGCCATTGGTGTCTGTTCGAGATGCATTTGAAGACAGGGCGTCAAGCACGAAATTCAGATTGGTTCTGTAAATGCTGCCAGTAGTGCTGTTAGGGTTGTATGTAGCGTTTCCACAGTAAGGCGCAAGAAAATTAACGGGGCTAGTGAGTGTGGTATGGAAGCTAAGGAAACAAAGCATGTAATAATGGAAGTGGAACAACAATTTTCGGGAGATCATTTCAAAGGCAGGCATCAAAAGAATAAAAGGCTAACAATCTACAAACCAGATTGGTAAATTAGGAGCCAAAGCATTGGTTAAGGGACCATGAAAGTTGTACAGGCCAGGAAAACGTGTGCTCTAGGAAGACTTTATTTTAGCAAGTCGGAATACGTCGTTTATGGATTTTGACGGGAGTGGAAAATTCGAGGATGCTGACGATATTGAACAATGTCATTGTGACAGATTAATGGAGACCAAGCTAAAAGCTAGTGCTCTAATCGTCCCAAATTCAATCTCTATTTGGTAGTAGAATCGTTCAACACTACTGGGTTTTAACTTTGGATTATTCTTTCTAAACATTGTCAGTGTAAATCCATTTCACACTAATAAGATGCATGACACGTAAATTTTACTCAAATTTTGAATTCATTTTTAACAAATATAGCCTGCACCTAAATAAATAAATAAATAAAATCTTTATGCTGATGGTGTAGATTAGATTAATCCTATTTTTGAGAAAGAGCTCTTTAGATACACTTGAAAAATCATGTAAAGTCTATCAAATTGTTTCTTTTGTTGCCTGTATACAAATGGACCCCAACACGGACAGAAGTATCTAGCCATTTCGCCACAATTGACAGCCAATTTTATGTCTGCCACTGCTTTTCAAATCAAGTTTGATGGCCAGTTAATTTTCTAACTTATTTATTTACAATGGTGCCTGCTGCATTAGTAAGATATATCTTGGGCTGTAAAATATCCAGAGTTCATGCCTTAGTTTGATACAGGAGTAACCACTTTGCTAGTTGACGGTGCCGAACCTGTATAATAATAAATACCTACTCGAGAAAAATACAGATTTTGTATATAGCGGTGAGTAGGGTCGAATTCACAGGGACTGGGGATAATTCATTTCTTCTAGAGTTCAAAGTATGGGGAGTTTTTGGATTAAATGCTAACTAAGTAAATTAAATGCTGAAAATAATTAATTAAAAGAAATAATTAGAGAAACTCTAGCCAATGATACACTTCAGAAATGGTTCATGCACTGATCATCGATGCATAGGTAATTCCACATTTATTAATAGATTAGTTATAGTTGTCATGCACGCGATAAACAACCAACCCTTCCTTAATTTATCGATAGCTAAGGTACGACCGTTAGCTATTTCCCTAACCCAAAAACAACCTTAGGTACGACCGTAGGATTTAATTTTTAGATTGCATTAAGAATTAGAAAGACCCAATCCTAACTAACAAACACGCTACGAGGGTTTGTTTAAGTTAGATCGTATGTTTCCCTGACATAAACCCAATTACGCCAGTTGTTACTGGGATAGAGATAACGAACAATTACGGATTCAATTATCCCTATTCAGCAAAATAACCTATATGAATAATTAATTATTGTGCACTAATCAATCATATACAAAAGCTATAACAATTAAAAACAGGAATCATATAAATACCAATAAATGAAGAAGCGATTAAAATAAATTCGATCTCACAGTAATTGCAGAACCAAATCTTAAATTGTTCCTTGACTAGAATTAAGAAACTAGTTCTCCATTAATGGAGAACAACCCACGCGGAAAGGCTATTCGAAGCTTACAATTCTTGTCTCTCAAATTCCGTCCGATAGTAAAAGAACTACTCCGCGGCCTAGAGAACCAAGCGGCTGCCCCTTCCTAGGAGTCACGGTTCTCCCCTCAAAGAAAGGAAAACCTAAGTGACTCTCTAACTCCTCATCTGCCGCCCCCTCATTTCGAAAGCTCAAGAATTCTTTTTTGAAAACTATTGCCAGTCAAAACAAAAACCAAGTCTCCTAATACTAGTCAACAATAGTGGCTCTTAAGGGTCTCTCACAAAACATCAATGTTTTTAAACTCGGACCGGTCAGTGAACCGGAGAGATGGCCGGTTCGCGGTTCGACCGGTCCGACCGGTCCAACCGGCCGGTTCAAAGGTTCACTGTTTTTTTTTTTTTTTTTTTTTTTTTTTTTTTTTTTGTTAAGTACTAAGCAGGTTTCATTCTACACTTGAACTTTACCAACATAACTTAATTTAAGTTATGATAATAATAAATTTTCTAAAAGTTATACACAAAACATGGAATGATAAATATAATTAAAATATCATAATTCACCACAAGTTTTCATAAATTCATTATAAACATAAATAGATACAATCCAAATGTGCACCAATTATCACAAATAAAAACACAAAAAATAAATAAATTAAATATTGAAATTCTTTTACAACCCTTAAAAAAATTCATATATAAAAGAGTTCAAGTTAAGACAAACTATTTGAATAGCAAACTTTTATCAGTGGCATGATAAGCAACCACACCACCTTCACAATTTCATCAACTTAAGCTGAAAAAGTTAAAATTTTATTATAAAAATATAAATCTAATTGCTCAAACTAAAAAAAACTAAAAATTTTTGAAAAACAAATATACAGTTAAACACATAAAAAATTAATTGCTACTAAACATTATTAATTAACATGTTATATTAAATTCAATGATTCTATACCATTAATTATTTTAAATTCAATTATCAATAGCTTCGATTATGTGCCAACTACCATATTTTTGACCAACCCAATGTTAGTATTTGTAATTCCTACCCAATTCCTACATGGATGTGCACTACTTTTGCAAAAATTTCATCCTTAATTAATCGAATAAAAATAAAACAAAAATGAGGGAAACATATGAAAATTGAGGGGAAAAAGAAGAAAATGCAAAAAATCAACTAAAGATAATAATATAGAAAAAAACCTTGAAAAGAAAAAAATTAAACTTACTAAAATGTTGGAAAACAAGAAAAGTTGAAATTTTCAACTTGTTTACAATCTGCTAAAGATAATAACCTGATAATAATGGTGAAGACTTGAGAAAATCTTGTTGTGGATATTTGGGTTAAAAATGGTTAAGAAGAAAAAATTGAAAAAAAAAATAAGAGAAGAACTTGATGTTTTAATATATTTTTTAGTCAAGTAGAATTCTCAACAAACTTAAGTACAGTCTAGCGGTAAGATTGTCATATTTAAACTTGGAGACCCAGGTTCGAATCTTAGCTACACCATTCTTGATATTTTGTTGAAGAATTTAAAAAACCGCCGGTTCACGGTTCTTAACGGTTCACACGGTTCTTCCGGTTCGTCCGGATTTCAACGGTTCTCCATGAACTTCCGGCTTTAGCATTAGACCGAACCGGTGACATGGCCGGTTCGCGGTCCAACCGGCCGGTCCGGTCCGGTTCTGAAAACATTGCAAAACATACGAGAGATTCCCTTTTTTTCTCCCTTCAATTTCAGTCAAAGCAAGATTGGAAGACAATTGCAATGGTCCCACTTTCCAAGGTCAACAAAAGATGATAAGCAATACAAAGTCAAGAATGGAGGCTCTTGTCTCCTCAGATGCCTTTCTCAAAGCTGCGGCCCATCTCCCTTTAAAAGCATAGCCTCGCAAAAAACCTAAGCCAGGCGACAAACTAACTCTCGCCCAATTAGATTTCTTCAGCTTCTCAAGCGGTCCCACGTACGACAAATCCTCTAAAATTTAATTTTAAGCACTTTTCAGCATTCAGTCCTGCAATTGACACCAAAATAAAATATTAGTAAAATTCACTCAATTACTAGAAATATTTAGTCGAATAAAAGTACATTAATACCCAAAATACCCCCTAAAATGCACCCTATCACTAGTTTCCTGGACATGAGCCATCGGATGACTAGTCTGTAACTATAACTTCTATACGCCATTAAAGGATTTTGGTGGAACTGGAAATTTGAGGATGCTAAAAACATCAAAACAACTTTATTGTGGAGGATAATTGTACTTCTACTAATGCTCTAAAGAATAAATTCGACCTAAATTTTAAAAAAAAAAAAGTTGACCCAAATTGAATCTCTATATAGTAGTTCAACACTGGTTTTAAGAAAGAGTTCTCTAAATATAGTTCAAAGGGGAAATGATGCACAGCCCCGTGGATTCATTCATTGTCACATGACTCTATTAATATGTACGAATATCCATATAAACTTTCTATGGTTTCATATAAAGTGAAAATTTGATGGAAAAATAACCTCTAAAATATATTTATTTGAAATACCAGTATTACATTTAGTTAAACATTAATTCAAACAATGACCAGACCATCTTACATAAAACTATAGGAGAATTATGTGAATAAATGCAAAATTTACAAAGGATTAAAATGGATATTCATACAAATCAAACGGGATATTAAGTATATATCATTATTTCGTCCCATGCATTTTTGGAGCACTTCTGTTCAATCACTATAGCCATTGGTGTTTTCTGTCTATTTATTGTATCCCATGAAATCATAGGGCGTTATGTGGACATTTTGAAATTTAAAGGGAATCATGTGTCAATGAAAAACCAAGGGAGGTTATGTGTAATTTACAACAGTCTGTCACATTTTAATAGGACTGAAACTTTCTAATAATTTTCATTGTCAAAAATGCCAATAAACTGTCACGCTACTTTTAATTCTCTACGGTTCCTTGTGTTTGGTGAAGTGGACAAATCATAAGACAAGCATTAATTTAGAGGAAAGAAACGTCTACCCATTTCTTAATGGCCAATTCCATGTCTGTGCTGGATTTTCGATCATATTGACAAGGGTGCCTGCAGCATTAGACCGTGTTAGAAGCCATTGGTGCCTGTTCGAGATGCATTTGAAGATAGGGCGTCAAGCACGAAATTTAGATTGGTTCTGTAAATGCTGCCGGTCGCACTGTTAGGGTTGTATGTAGCGTTTCCACAGTAAGGCGCAAGAAAATTAACGGGGCTAGTGAGTGTGGTATGGAAGCTAAGGAAACAAAGCATGTAATAATGGAAGTGGAACAACAATTTTCTGGAGATCATTTCAAAGGCAGGCATCAAAAGAAAAAAAGGCTAAAAATCCATAAATTACAGTTGTAAAATAGAGTTTTATTTGGTTTTCTTTTTTTTTTACTGACACAGTAGATATCCAAAATTCAACGAATTATATTTCCGGGCCAGACTAATCCAATGTTTTGGTTGAGGGATCATGAAAGTTGTACACGCCACGAAAACGAGTATTCTATAGGATGACTTTACTTTAGCAATTCAGTCAACCAAGTTTTTGACCCAAAAAAAAAGAATTCAGTCAACCAAGTCGCCTGCACGTGAACCATCAGCTGAATTGTCTCCAACTAAAATTCAATACGTCAGTAATGGATTTGATGGGCTTGCAAAATTCAATACGTCAGTAATGGAAAAATATACAACATTTGACCCTAAATTACATCTATTTAATTTGTATATATTTGATCCAAATTTGATACTTATTCATTA